GAGAAGAACCGGCAAGAAACTCAGCAAGGGCTGTTTTTTTTCTCCCTGTATTATATACAGAGTCGTCAATTTGAAAAATGAGTTCAATATGAGATAACCCATGAAGTCACTTTCTAATCTCCAAGACGCCCTCTAGTTTAGCTGACCCCCTCAGCTTAGAGTGGTATAGAGGCTCCAGACTTGACAGTTTGATGTTGCCCAATATGCGTACTCAATATTTTGTACAAATATCTATAATAAGTTACCACGCTTGATAACGGAGCTTAGTTTGCCTATATTTAAAAGGAAGCTTAAAATGTGGCTAATAACGCAATGTTTTTACTCAGAGAATATTTAGAAACGAAAATTGACATAGAATAGAATAAGTAAAATGACATAAGTACCCTTAAATTTTAGAATGAAATTAAGTTTGACATTCACATGCCCTGTCGTTGGTAAAATGGACGAACTAAATGAAAATCACCACCAAAATGTATGTACTCTGTTTTGTGTGAATAAATAAATTTCATTTCATTTCATTTCAGACGGAGAGGAGACTCCCCCGTGGGGAGATGCAATCCGCCTGAAATAATAATAATGCCTCTAGAGGCACTCGCCAATTCTCGGCTTGAGGTCCCCTTAGGATCTCGCCGTCCCCAAACCCGGTGACGCTGTAAAAGTCATCTGCGACCAACAGCTTACACACTCAAAAAAACCGGCCAAGTGCGAGTCGGACTCGCGTACCGAGGGTTCCGTACAAAAATATTCAAAAATATTTTTTATTTTATGATGTAACTAAAAATTTACGGTTTTCGCAATTTTACCAAATTTCAAGATTCTAAGTTCACGGGAAGTACCCTGTAGGTTTTGATTCCCATGCGAGTTTCGAAAATTTGCGGCATAAACGGCTGTATCTTTTGATTGCTTTGGCTTAGAAGTTTGATTTTTTCATAGCTCCAAGGGACAGTAGACCTGAGTATAAGGTATGAATTTCAGTTTGATACCTCCACGCGTTCCTGAGAAAAACGGTCTTGACAGACGGACGGACGGACAGACGGACAACAAAGTGATCCTATAAGGGTTCCGTTTTTTCCTTTTGAGGTACGGAACCCTAAAAAACACCAAAAGGTATTGTTTTACTGTCGTCTTCTGTAAGGTAGAGGTTACCTTCACAGACGGGGGTAAGACTGTACTTCCAGGGCCCAAAAGGCGATACTTGTTTTTTTTTGTAGAAAAGGTCTTTTTAACAGTTTTTTTCTTCTGGCGCTTCGCCGGCCGCTGCCGCGGCACGCTCGCTTTGCTCGCTCGGCTCGCGCGTTATGGTCACAACACTAACCTAACCTAACCTAGTGTGAAGTATCACCACTTGATAAGAAAAGTAAAAATCTTCAATATTTTTTTCCGAAAAACTACCAGTGCATAAGTGTGACATTTTTTTTAATAATGTGGTTAACAGAAACCTTTTTAACAACAAAAATGCGAAATTACAACCAACAAAACTGTGAAGTTTTTACTTTTGGGCCCTGGAAGTACAGTATATCCCAGACGGGTGCTCCAATACGAGCGGAAATCCGCTATATCTCTTAAATAGTTTCTATGTATGTATGTATATATTTCTACGTGGCACTTCAGGGAGAGTTATATATTTCTCATCAATTGTCAGTTTGCAGTGTCACTGTCAATGTCAAGGCGGACCGGCATGGTTGCGTTCCGGGACTACACTCCGGGTGCGGCTTTCGTAAGGTGGGCGAGGAGAGTAGCATATTTGGCCTAATTATCATTGTAACTTTATTAATATTTTATGCTAATATAATTTAATTATTTATGTTACATAGTTTGATTATTTTCAATATTTATATATTTTTGCACTGAACTTCCTTTTTTATATACCACCAGCTGACCCGGCGAACTTCGTATCGCCTTAGCGTAGCTTTGATGCACTACTTTATTTTGTATAGCTGACCTATCTTATGTATGATTATCTATTCATTATTATTTACTTATTATTTATTTTTTGTTTTAAATTTAATGACGTTGACATTTGTCAGTGCGGTTATCGATGTGGTGTCACAGATTACCACAGATTTTTTGTTTTAAATTGAATGACGTTGGCATTCGTTACGTTATATTTTTCAGTCTTTCTGAGAGATTTTCTTTATATTTTTTTTCCGTAAGAACCTTGTACAGAGTTTTAGAAAACTACAAAAAAAAAAATCAGCCGAATCGGTCAAGCCGTTTTCATGTTATGTCGTGACAACGGAAAACGGGTTTCATTTTTATATATATAGATTTGATAATTTTATATTATTTTAATGTTTTATCCATATACATTTACCAGCGCTGTTATGGTGGGAATATTCCCACGATAACAGCATTAAGCTGAGGCAGGGTCCTGGATTGATTTTATTGTTTTTTTTTCTACATATGTATTTGCGTGTTGGCCAATAAATACTTTTTCTTTCTTTCTTTCTTTCTTTCTATGACACATTATTTTATAACAGAAATGGAAATTCTGCGTTACTTAAACGATTATATTGAATACGGTCGCGTGTGTTGCTCGGCTTGTCGTATTTCAAAAGCGAATCCTTTAGCAAATAAAGTAAAAAGACAACAAACACAGTGAAAGAGAATGATCGTTGTGTGGCTGCAATCACGCGACCTGCTCTCCCAGTTTTTGCGGTCCCGGACTGCGGGACACCGCGGGGTTCCCGGTACGGATGATGCCGATCAAGGATTACAGTACTATACTGTTTATGTCTTTGCATTAACAATAATTCAATACGCAGAAAAAAAATGATTAAAATGATATATATAGTGAAGGGAAATGTTGGGAAAACGGGAGAAGTTACTCCATTTTTTAAGCTTCCGTCGCGTGCGCAGCCTTAATGGTTAAAGTTACATAGAAATCATGTATGACGGAAATATTCTACATAAAATTGTCTAAAAAATATATTGCAACTACTATACTGTTTATGTCTTTGCATTAACAATAATTCAATACGCAGAAAAAAAATTCATCATCATCATCATCATCATCATCATCAGCCTATTAATGTCCCCATTGCTGGGGCACAGGCCTTCCCTATGGATGTAATAGGGAGATTGGGCCATGACCCACCACGCGGGCCCAGTGCGGATTGGTGGGTGCTAACGACTGCAGATGCAGCCGGGACCAACGGCTTAACGTGCCTTCCGAAGCACGGAGGAGCTCGAGATAGAAGATTTTTTGGTCACCCATCCAAGGACCAACCACTGCGAAAGTTGCTTAAATTCAACGATCACAGCCGAACGCGCTAACCACCTGCGCCATCGAGCTCCTCTAAAAAAAAAAAAAATTATTAAAATGATATATATATCTTATCTGTATATATAATGTATCATTTTCGACCAAAGTGGCGTATAAGCTATTTTGCTTTTCCACTGTCGAAATGGAGTATTGAATTTACAATAGATATATCTACATATATTCGTATGCATATGTGTGGAATACATTGAGAGTAAACTTTATTAGAAAAAAAAAAATTTATAAATAAGGTAAAGTTAAAGATTTTCTTGGAAAAAAACGATTAATTTGCTTGCTTTTTTCAAGGAAAACACTAATTTCACAAACAATTATAAAAATATCAATAGATGATGATAAAGGTGCTTTGGTAAATTAAAAACTAAAAATAGAAGGAAACGAGTATTTATGGTACGGACAGAAATTATTGTGTATAAGTGATTTTTAACGGACAGAGACTCTGTCCGTTAAAAATCACTTTGTAGGTAATAAAGGCAATCATTGTGGTGAATTTTCTATAAAAATCTGATCTAAGTGCAATGTCAAGAAATTATAATTTCTACAATTGCAAGTTGTGTTTTTTGCAGTTTTTTTTTATTAAAATAGAAAAAAAGTTACAATAATCCAAAACGCGTGCTTCACTTTTTTATAAAAAGATCTTTAATTGAATGAACCCAATAGCTAATATTAACTGAACTAAATTAGGAACTGTTTTTTTATATGGTGATAAAAATACTCGTGTCCCAACACTAGTAAACCCAACAGGTAATTATTTGGACGATACTCTTCTTTTTATCGCCAGAGCCTTTAAACGAAACCTCAGGCAAAACTGTGGCTCGTATTACAAGTACCATCATTAAACTTTAAAAAAAATCACCAACTTTTATTTAATTTTAACATTAAGCGATAAATAATAACAATCCATAAATATCAAATCAAGGAATATTTATTAAATTCACTTAACGTAATAACACATATTTATGGATGTTAATAAAGATTTTTATCATAAATAAATCATTTCCTCTTTAGTGAAGATTTTGAGCGTTTATGCTAATGTTTAACACACTCCTTTGTTTCCAACACACGAGTGATTCTATGAAATACTTACGCATTTAAAGTGCCATAGATATGTGTAATATACAGTTAGCGGTGACCTCAAACTTAGTTCTGTTTAAATAGGAATTTTAATTAGACAATGAAATGATAATTAAAAAAAAATGGGTAGTGTTTGGCGACCGCTTACCGAATACATGCGTAAAGCTCTCGAACGCGCGTTGAACTCTTTATTACCGCCAAAACGGACGGACAGAAGGGTTTAGGCAAAATTGGTTGAAACAGCATTTTAAAAACATGTTTTAGTACGTTAGCGGTGAATCAAATGTTTAGTAATAATTTTCCGTTCCACTTTACGTGTTATTGTTGTAAAAATAAGGCCATTTTTTGAGAGAGAACTTAATTGTTACTTTGTTAATTCTAGAGGCTAACAATCTTTACCTTATCAGAATACGTAGCCCCAAAACTAAAGTTAACCTACCACTGTACACTTAAAATCCGCAAATAACAGAAAAACAACAAACCTAATCGGCGTCAAAACCAAGCAAACGTTACATTTAAAGAAACTACGATACAACAAATGAACAGCGAAAAGTTCGGTTCGGCAATATGCGTAAAAATCGAATCGTAAATGCGTTTATCCTCCGCATATATCACTGGGGGTCATCGACCGGGTATTTGCATGGACCTGCGCGGGCGACGAATAGCAGGGCAAGCGACGCGAGTGCGGCGAGAGACATGGCGGCGGGCGATGCGCACCGCGGTCCGGCGCACACTGCCGGCCAGGCCTTGTTAGCCTGCCGACGGGCAAGGAAAACATCGCGAAGGAACCGGGGAAATGGGACAACACACCACACCACACATGCCCCCCCAAACAGCGGGGCTAATTGGACAGATTGCTATAGATTGAATCTATAGCAATGTCAATTCTGTACATGAAATAAATTTTCAAAATAACTATCAGGGGGTGATTAGTGATCGATACTGATGCCAAAAATGCAATCAGTAAAATTCTTGGCTGTCTGTATGTATGTTCCTTATAGAAACAAAAACTACTCGACGGATTTTAACGAAACATAGTACAATTATTCTTCATACTCCTGGGCAGGTTATAGTATACTTTTCATCGCGCTACAATCAATAGGAGCAGAGCAGTGAAGGGAAATGTTGGGAAAACGGGAGAAGTTACTCCATTTTTTAAGCTTCCGTCGCGTGTGCAGCCTTAATGGTTAAAGTTACATAGAAATCATGTATGACGGAAATATTCTACATAAAATTGTCTAAAAAATATCCCGCAACAGCATATGTCTATCTTTTATGGTTGACTCACAATAACACGTGTAACTCCTGATAGCTTAGCAGATCGGGGCATTCTGATTATATTTGATACGATTTTCAGTTATTTTTTTATTATTATATGAAGAGTCATTTTAGTCTACACTACAGCTCAACACCGAAGCGAAGTGAGGGCGAGCCACTAGTTATTAATAAGTGATTAAGGATCAGTTGCATTGACATTTTTAATTCGAAAAGCTTAATCCAGTTGAGCACATCACGAGACTCACGACATCCTCGTCAACAACCTATTTGAATTCAAGATTTAAACGAGATTTTGTTTTAATCTCATTTCTGAAATAAATATGTATAAATAAATTTTAAATGATTATGCATTTGAAAAGATCTATAAGATACTGCATACATTTTTTAAATTACAATTAAACTTTAACCTCTATAATATTAAGAAATGTTCTGGAAGTGACAGAAAAAATTTTTTGCTGGGTTCATTTTTAAGGAAGTGGTCTTTTGCAAGAGTTGAGTTTTTTATATATTTAATTACTAGTGGCCCGCCCTCGCTTCGCTTCGGTGTAGAGCTGTAGTGTAAACTATAGTTTTTGTTCTCAGGCTTGTGCTATAAAGAATGACTTTATTTATATAATTACACGTGTTATTGTGAGTCAACCATAAAAGATAGACATATGTTGTTACGGGATATTTTTTAGAAAATTTTATTTAGAATATTTCCGTCATACATGGTTTCTATGTAACCTTAACCAATAAGGCTGCACACGCGACGGAAGCTTAAAAAATGGAGTAACTTCTCCCGTTTTCTCAACATTTCCCTTCACTACTCTGCTGCTATTGATTGTAGCGTGATGAAAAGTATACTATAACCTGCCCAGGAGTATGAAGAATAATTGTACCAAGTTTCGTTAAAATCCGTTGAGTAGTTTTTGTTTCTATAAGGAACATACACACAGACAGACAGACAGACAGACAGACAAAAATTTTACTGATTGCATTTTTGGCATCAGTATCGATCATTAATCACCCCCTGATAGTTATTTTAAAAATATATTTCATGTACAGAATTGACATCTCTACAGATTTATTATAAGTATAGATAAACGAGATAAAACTTGCATAACTTGATCCATGTATTGTCTCTTTATTGAATGACATATTTAATCCAAAAAGCATCCAAAAGTGTAAATTTTCTATCATTTCTTCGCAAAATTGTGTTCTAAATCGTCTACAATGGTACGAAACTATTCCAGGCAGGCAGCCACACAGTGAGAGAGCTTTATCTTCATTCAAAACTGTTAAATTTCTCCAACTAAGCTTTATCTTGATCCATATAAGATTCACAATATATTAGATTATTTTAAACTTTGCAGTTACTTGGTGTACGTCTGTTTGTCAGTGCATTTGCTAATGAGCCTCACGTTCTTAGCCTGAACCCGATATATCTACCCTAAAGCTTGGAGGACTTACAACAATAAGCTGAATCACATTTAAGAATCTAAAGAAAATATAACTAGAAAAAATTCCACGCGTGCCAGTTTTTTTTCTAGTTATATTTTCTTTAGATTTAAACATCAAGCAGTTACATGCTTTAAAAATAATAAAAATTATAACACATTTAAGAATATTTTATGGAGTAATAATAAATATTTCCAACACTCACACCAATTAGCCTAGCCCCAAAGTAAGCACTATAAGGCTTGTGTTATGGGATACTAGGGTAACGGATAGAATACATATAATGTACATATATAAGTATATTTTTATAGAAATACATATTAAACATCCATGACTGGAGTACAAATGCTCGTATTCACAACACAATCATCTGCCCCCACCGGGATTTGAACCCGGGATCTCTCGAGTCGGCGACACCATAAAACCCGGCATACAAACCACTCGGCCACGGAGGTCGTCGAAGAAGAGTACTTAAGTTATTCCTTGTATCTATCTATACGTAATTTTAAGATTAATTCAAGGATTACCTATTTGGCGGGGTAACTAATGTTTATGGAGAGTTTAAAACCAATCAAAGACTGAAATTATATTTTATTAGGAAGACGCGTGTACAATACAGTGCGCTTTACAAGTTACTCTGTTACTGAGAGGGCTTTCTCGCGGTCTTGACGGTCGTATAGGTAAATCATATATCGTGCATCTACATAGTATAATAATCCATGTACATTACGTATGTAGTTACACCTACAAAAACTAATGACTTCTTTATGATAAAATCACTGAAAACTTAGAAATAATAAAAGTAAAATTAACAATGTTTCGAATTGGAAAAACAAAAATTACGAACACAAATTTTATGCTTTACGTTGGCTTTTTTTTTTAGATAGTTTCAACAGATGACTCCACCCCACCTGATGTTAAGTGGAGGTGAAGTCCAGACGCGAAGATAGCTGATACAGCAGTTCTACCTGCCACACCAGCCATCCTCACCCTGCCGGCCTACATGTTGCTTCTTCACTTTTCTTCTTCAGCTGTTGCTTCTTCAGCTTTGATGCATAAAGTTCGGAGGAAAGAAATTTCATCATCAGTTTCATCAGCCTATTAACGTCCCCGCTTCTGGGGCATAGGCCTTCCCTATGAATAGAATGGGGTGATTGGGCCGTAACCCACCACGCAGGCCCAGCACGAAGGAGCTCGAGACTATAAGTTTTTTGGTCACCCATCCAATAGCCGACCATTGCGAAAGTTGCTTAACTTCGCTAATCACCAGCGCCATCGAGATAAATTATATAAGTTCATCACTTAAGTGAGGAGCGCTGTTACCTTTGTGTCCGCAAGCTTTCAGAACGGACGATTGTCACCCGCACAGATAAATTTGACTATATGCTTACATCAATTATTTATTACTATTCGTAAGTGGAATTCTTTACCCGCGCAAGTGTTCCCTCCTTACTATAATCTGGGGTCCTTTAAGAGAGGCGTGAAGAAGCATTTTTGCAGGCCGGCAAGGTGAGGATGATTGGTGTAGCAGTTTATAACTGCTGTACCAGCTATCTTCGCGTTTGGACTTTATTACCACTTAGCATCAGGTGGGGTAGAGTCATTTGCCTACCTAAATATATAAAAAAAATCAAGGAAGTTCAAGTTATACATCAATAGATATATAACGTTAATCAAAAAACATAATGATCAGAAAATCGCAGTAATAAACTAAAAATTCAATCAATGATTGTAGAAGTGAATTATCCCTCTTTCCGTCGGGGGTTAAAATAAAAATCGGTAATGTCGTACTCAAGTTGTAGCGTGATAAATGAATCAGGGATTCATTTCTATATAAATTTAATCTAACATTTATTATACAGTATGTTATTTACGTGGTTGCTACCAGTAAATCCAGTAACTGAACAGTTACTCCGTGATTATGACGCTTGCATGCAAAAGTGCTGAAATATCGGCAAAACAAGGAACATGGTAGCCATAAATTACTATAGTGTGATTATGATAGTATGAGGAGCTCGATGGCGCAACTGGTTAGCACGTTAGGCTGCGATCGTTGAAGTTAAGCAACTTTCGCAGTGGTCGGTCATTGGATGGGTGACCAAAAATTTACTATCTCCTCCGTGCTTCGGAAGGCACGTTAAGCCGTTGGTCCCGGTTGCATCTGCAGTCGTTAGCACCCACCAATCCGCACTGGGCCCGCGTGGTGGGTCATGGCCCAATCTCCCTATTCCATCCATAGGGAATTCCTGTGCCCCAGCAGTGGGGACATTAATAGGCTGATGATGATGATGACGGTGATCAATGTGATTATGAAAGTTTAAAAACAAAAATTATTATGAAAATAATAAGTTTTAGAATAGTATCCTCGTTCCACCAGCCAACGGTATAAATATTTTTTAAATATATGTCAGCTGGAATATTTTTGATATCTGCTGGAAGTTTATGAAATATTTAAATTGCCATACAATAAACATTTTTGGGCTCAGCTTTCCATAAGCTGTATAAATAAATAAAAAATAGTATGGGCTCAACACTTAGAAAAAAAGGTAAATGTGGCTTTACAACAATCTTTAATTCAGAACTGACTTGGTCAACCCCGACACGCCGTGGTTTTGGTCTGCCCTACCCCTAGAGTGTTTTTTAGAGCCCGGAGGCGCGAGGGAGAGCAGCCCCCGCCTGCTGTGACAAAGCCGCAAGCATCGTCCGACCCGTAGCGCCTAAGGCTGGTCGTCCAGCAAGCTGAAGGTGAGAAGGGGAGTGATGCTTGTGACTTTGTCACGTTAAGGCGGAGGGGCTATTTCCGCAGCGCCGGAGATAAGGCAGAAGAACTGGTTCTTACTTCCCTAGTACTTGCATCCTAAAAAAATATAAATTTTTAGGTTAGGTTAATAAAAAAAAAACATGCATTTCCTCCTAAAATCTTTAGTGGGAGGGGGAGACATTTCCCTCCCCCCACATGAAAACTACCCCGCAAATTTTTAATTCATTACCACAGCTAATGGCATTAAGTA